AGACACAGTCTCCTGCAGTCCAGGCTGACCTTGCTGTGTAGCTAAGGCTGGACTTAATCTCCTGATTTTCCTGCCTGCACCTCTTGAGTGCTGGGGTGACACATGTGTACCATGGCTGGTCTGTTTTCTTATCCTGGGATGGAATCTGTTCTAGTTACTTTCCTTGTTTCTTTGATCAAATATCTGCCAAAAGCAACTTGAGGGAGGGAGTGTTCATTTGGCTCACAGTTTCAGGATACAATCCAACATGAAGGGGATGGCATGGCGGCAGGAGTGTGAGACAGCTGGTCATGGTACATCCACAGAAACAGAAGAGTGTGAGCGCTCAGTTTGCTTTCCTTTTAAAAATAGTTTATTTCTTTATTATTTATTTATTTATTTATTTATTTATTTTTCGGGGAGAGGGAGAACACTCACATCATACTGCCTTTGTGGAAGTTAGAGGACAACTTGTAGGAGTCAGTTCTCTCCTTCCACCATGTGAGTTCTGAGAATTAAATTGAAGTTGTCAGGCTTGGTGGCAAGTGCCTTTTCCAGCTGAGGCATCTTGCCGGCCCCTCACTGCTGTTTTTCAATAAGTCACAAATGTATGCTTTTTGGCTTTTTTTTTTTTTTTTGGTCTTTTTGAGACAGAGTCTCCCTGTAGCCTCAGCCGGCTGGAACTCATTATGTACAGCAGGCTGGCCTTGAACTCATAGAGATCTGCCTGCCTCTGCTTCTCAAGTGCTGGGATTAGAGGTGCGTACCACCGTGCTAGGCTGAATGCATGCTTTTTCACAATGACCTTTGCCTTTTTTCTTTACCTGAAATGGTGGCCTCCTAGTCTCTCTAGGTCTAGTTCATAATAATCCTCCATTCCGTCCGTTCACTTACCTGGAATGCAGATGTAAACCCAAGATCCCATCAGAAATTCCAAATTCTTGAATTCAAAACCAGTCTGGGATATATATATATATATATATATATATATATATATAAAATCTCAAGACCCTGTCTCAAAAAACCCATGCCAGCCATAGTAGTGACCTATGTGACCTTTATCCCAGTACTTGGGAGCCAGAGGCAGGTGAATCTCTGCAAAATTCCAGGCCAGCCATGGCTACAGGGAGATCCTGTTTCAAAACAAAAAACAGAGAACAGGGACTGGAGAGATGAATCAGGCTTTAAGAACACTGACTGCTCTTGCAGAGGACCTGGGTTTGATTCCCAGCACCCACATAGTGGCTAACAATTGTGTTCATAACTCCAGTTCCAGGGGATCCAACGCCCTCCTTTGACCTCCGTAGGCAATGCGTGACATAGGTGCACTTACACACATGCAGACAATATAGTCATCCACATTTTTAAAAAGAAAGACAGCCGGGTGTGGTGACACACACCTCTAATCCCAGCACTTGGGAGGCAGAGGCAGGCAGATCTCTGTGAGTTCAAGGCCAGCCTGGTCTACATAGTGAGTTCCAGACTAGCTGGGGCTACAGGGAGACCCTGTCTCAAAAAGACAAAAAAAAAAGATTCCTTCCTTCTTCAGGAAGCCTCTACTGTTCCCTGTGTTTCCCTTTAGCATCCAGAGGCTCAGTTGGTAGAATGCTTGTAGTTCAGTTGGCAGAGTGCTTGTAGCTTGGCTGGTAGCTTGCTTTCCTAGCATGCACACAGTTCTGGATTCCCTCCCCAGCACTGCATAAACCAGACATGGTGAATGCCTATCATCCTAGCACTCACGAGGCTGAGGTAGGATCAGGAATTCAAGGTCATCCTCAGCTACAAGGGAAATTCTGGGCCAGCCTGGGCTATGGGAGTCCTTACAGCAAAGAAACAAATAGGTACCCCAGTGAATACCAGGCAAGTGAATAAAAGACAGTCTAAGGAGCCCGCAGGCAAACTGAACTGTTAAAAAATTTTATTAAAATGTTCAAGAAGTACATTAACATCCACAGTGTGAGATACTACAGATCCATGGAACATTGTGGTTCCCAGCAAAACCCAGCAGAACCTGAAGTCATTCTCACGCACACCCTCACGCTCCCACCACATACGTGGCACACAAAGATACACACGCACACCCACAGGGAAAGAGCCAAGTTGGGTTTCCCACTCTGAAAACACTAGAGTCCCCCTCCCTGACAGAGCAGGGTGGGGGCAGGAAACCCACTCAGCCACCAGCACACCGCATTCCCCAGCTCCCCAAACGAAGGGAAATTGTGTCCTGACATAGAAGAGTGGTGGTGTGGGGATGCTGACGTCATTAGTTTTGAACCAAGCAGAGTTACTAAGGAGACAAAGCCATGTCCCCAGGCTTTCCAATGACTGTCAGAGGCAGGACAGTGGCTAATGTGTACAGCAGAGAAGACTGGTGATCAGGATCCAGGGAAAGGGTGAGTTTGCTCTTCTCAACCATCTCCCAAGCCTGTGTGTGTGTGTGTGTATGTGTGTGTGTGTGAGAGAGAGAGAGAGACAGAGACAGAGACAGAGACAGAGAGAGAGAGACAGAGACGAGAGAGAGAGACAGAGACGAGAGAGAGAGAGACAGAGACGAGAGAGAGAGAGAGACAGAGACAGAGAGAGAGACAGAGACGAGAGAGAGAGAGAGACAGAGACAGAGAGAGAGAGAGAGAGAGAGAGAGAGAGAGAGAGAGAGAGAGAATAAAAAGAGGTTACAATCTCTTCCCAAAACACAAAGCTATGTTTGGATCCTGAATCAGGACCAGGGTTTAGAGATAGGGACTGAGTTGGTAGAGTGCTTGCAGCTCAGTTGGTAGAACACTTGCCTAGCATGTACAAACCTTTGGGTTCCATCCCCAGCACAGCATAAACCAGGCCTGGTGGTGTACACCTGTCATTCCAGTACTTGGGAAACTGAAGCAGGAGGAATTAGGAGTTTAAGATCATCCTCCGCTTCATAGTGAGTTCAAGGCCAGCCTGAGCTATATGAAACCCTGTCCCCAAAACAAATCAACAATAACAAAACCCCAAACCAACAACTACAATCCTCAGAAGGAAATACTTCTATCCTTGGCCGCGACTAGTTCTATGCCTTTCTCTTGTATGGAAGGCTCACTACCATCTTGTGTAAATGGGTTGGGGGACCATGCCCCCCAGGCTGCTGAGAAAACTCAAGAACACTCCCTGAGGCCCTAGGTGGCTTCCACTCAGCAACTGCTCCATTTCTTTATTACCTGTTACCTCCCAGGAGGGACACAGGCTCAGTCAACACATTTCCATCTGTACTGATCCCTTAGGTGGGCCATGCACTTGCTTGGCAAGTGCTGGGGATGGCACCCAGGGCCTCATGCAGGACTGGCAAGCACTCATCACTGAGCACCCACCAACCTCGCCAGGTCCTACATTTAAAAAAAATTATTTATTGACTTTGTGCTTGTGTGTGTGTACACGCATGTGCTCAGAGGGTGACTTTTAGGGGCCGGTCCTTTTCTTCCTCTTTGTGTTTTCAGGCAGGTCTCTTGTTTTGCAATGCTCTGCACTCCAGGCTAACTGACCCACAAGCTTCCAGGCAATTCTTGCTCATCTCTTGCTGGGTTACAGATTTCCTGCCACGGCATCTGCCTGGCTTTTTTATTTTTGTTTTTGTTTCTCATGGGTTCCTAGAGACTGAACTGGATTCTTCAGGTTTGTATGGCTGGCACTTTTACCCACCAAGTCATCTCCCCAGCCCTACACTATGGATTTAACACTGATTCAGATTTTACTCAGACTGGTGGGGCTGAGAGTGGGCAGTAGCCATGGAGACATATCTCAGAACCCTCTGAGTGACCAATCCAGCTCAGGTTTGGTGCAACCTTTTCTGTGGTGCATATTGGAAGGTGGAACGAAGGTGAATTCTTTCTCATTTAGAAAAGTAAAGGGGGCGTTGGGGATTTAGCTCAGTGGTAGAGCACTTGCCTAGCAAGTACAAGGCCCTGGGTTCGGTCCTCAGCTCCTGGGCGGGGGACGGGGTGGGGGAAAGGAAGCTGGGCGTGGTGGCACACACCTTTAATCCCAGCACTCCAGAGGCAGGCGGATCTCTGTGAGTTCAAGGCCAGCCTGGTCTACATAGTGAGTTCCAGGACAGCTGGGCCTACAGGGAGACCATGTCTCAAAAATACCCCCCCCCCAAAAAAAAAGTAAAAGGAGAGAGAGCGTGTGTTGGGTTTCAACACATGCTTCTCCAAAGGGAGGAGTTGCTGCTTCAAGTTATAAACATTGCCAGTTAACCAGGCAGTGTTCGGAGACAGGAATGGGGGGACCCGAGGCAGGGGCATTACTGAGGGCTTCCAGAGGGGCCAGTATGGACAGGCTCTGGGCTGGAAAATGTGGCCCCTCCTTGGACCAGGCAGGAGGTTGTCTGTCTCCCTGAGAGATGGGGCAGGGGTGGAGAATCTAGTGGCATCCCAAATTCACCCAAATTTCACACGCATGGGTATGAGAGAGATTCATCACCACAAACCCAGACACAGCCACTCTTGGTGGGCGTAGGTCCGTCATCCTAGAATTCAGACTGCTGAGGCAGGAGGATTACTGTGAACTTAAACTTAGCCTGGGCTACAGAATGAGATCCTATGTCAAAACAAACAAAACAGCCTTTAATCCCAGCACTGAGGAAGCAAAGGCAGGAGGATCTCTGTGAAATCAAGTTCAGCCTGGTCTACATATGTATTCCAGGCCAGCTCTGGCTACAGAGAACCCCTGTCTCAAAACAAAACAAAGTTAAACCAAAAACCAGAACCACCACAGCTTAGCACTAGACTTGGGAGGATCTGCAATACCCTCTTGCTACCTCCATATTCCTCTGAATAACCTCTCAGAGGCCAAGGAGGCTCTAAAAACATTTCTAAAATTCAGTTCCATTTATGCATCAAGACCAAAGGCCTGGACCCAGCATGCACGAGGCCCTGGGCTCCATCCTCAGCACCACAGAAACCAGGCTTGGTGGCTCAGACCTGCCATCCCAGAACTCAGGAGGTGGAGGCAGGAGGATCTGGAGCTCAAGGTCATCCTCTGCCACACAGTGAGTTCAGGGCCAGCCTGGGCTATATGAAAGACTATGAAAGGAAAGAAGGAAGGAAGGGAGGGTGGGAGAGAGGCAGAGAGGGACCACATTGGCAGGGAGGTCCTGGGTGAAGGCATGGCCCGTCAGGTTCAAACTTCTGCCTCCACCCAGAATCCTTCAGCCAAAGCTTCACCCTGGATTCAGGATGGCCCGTTCACTAAGCCAGAATCTCTGGTGTGAGAGCCATTCCCCAGCACACATACACGCACACAATCTTGCTCTCTCTCAGAAGCTTGGCAAACAAAATTCAGGAACCCCCTTTCCCATGGCTAGGAGATGCTCCCAGGGCTCAGTCAGACCAGAGTGGCCTTCGAAGGCCCAGGCAATGCTGGCCAGGAGGACTTGGGGAAGGGGGAGGAGATCCGAGCTTTGTACAGAGGATAGCAGGGCTGTGAGCCCTGAGGCATCCCCATCCTCTCTTTTGTGGCTGTCTGGGTTCTGGATCCCCAGACGAAGGCTCCGGAGGAGGTGTGGGGAGGGTCTGTGCTGGCTTGGCCTGGATCTTCAGCAGAAATTTCCTTCCTCCTTCTCCCAGTCCTCTGCCAGCCGTCTCTTGTGTTTCCTGCGATCCTTGCGGGCTTTATGGTGTCGGTGCTGGTGGTGATGGTGGTGGTGGTGCCTCCGCATCCGATGTGACCGCCTGGCTACAGGTGGGAGAGGACAGGAAAGGGTGAAAGTGGATGGTGGTAGGGGGTTTGGATGTCACTAGCCTCCTTAGGGGGATGGGAAGGAAAAAAATACTGGGCAAGGGCTTCACTATCAGCCTGTCAACAGAGCCACATCCCTACTCGGATGAGTTTCTCTCTGTAGCCCAAGCTGGCCTGGAATTTGCAATCCTTCTGTGCCAGCCTCCAAGTAACTGTGAGACTACAGGGGTACTCCACCGGATTGTGATGGGATGTTCAATCCCCAGCACCACATAAGTCTGACACTGGGTGGGAGAAACAGGAAGACCTGGAGTTCAAGGCCAACCTCGGCTACACATCCCAAATTTGAGGGGAGCCTGGACTACCTGAGACTCTGTCTCAAAATTAAACAAAAGTACGGGGTGGGCTGGTAAGTTCTCACTTATCTGCAAGGCTATATTACCAGACAGTTTTTGGCACAGGATTTCATGTAGGCCAGGATGGTCTCAAACTCACTACGTAGCTGAGGACGACCTTGAACTCTTTATTATTTTTTTAAAAATTTATTATTTTTATTTTATGTGTACGTGTGTATTGCCTGCATGTAGGTAAGTGCACCCGTGTTGTGCAATGCCCTCGGAGGTCAGAAGAGGCTGTCAGGTCCCCTGGGACTGGAGTTACAGACAGTTGTTAGCTGCCATGTGGGTGCTGGGATTCGAACCTGGATCTTCTGCAAGAACAACCAGTGATCTTAACCGCTGAGCCATCTCTCCAGCCCCGACCTTGAACTCTTTAAAAAAAAAAATCCTTTTTTTTTTTTTTTTTTGAGACAGGTTCTCCCTGTAGCTCCAGCTGGCCTAGAACTTGCTTTGTAAACCAGACTGGCCTTGAACTCACAGAGATCCGCCTGCCTCTACTTCCCGAGTGCTGGGACTAAAGGTGTACACCACCAAGCCTGGCCTTATTTGTGTATGTATATAACTACACCTATGTGTGCAGTGCCCATGGTAGCCAGAAGAGGGTGATGGATCTCCTGGAACTGGAATTACAGTTGGTTGTTAGCTGCCATGTGGGTGCTTGGAACCAAACCCAGGTCCTCTTCAAGAGTAGTCAGTGCTCATAAGTGCTGAGCCATCTCTTCAGCCCTGACCCTGAACTGCTGCTGATCCTCCTGCTTCTACCTCCTGAGTGGCAGACATGCATCACCCTGTCCAGTTTGTGCAGTTCTGGAGATGGAACCCAGGGCTTTGTGCATGCTAGGTAAGCACTCTACCAACTGAGCTTCAAGCACTCTACCAACCGAGCTTCAGGCACCCTACTTACTAACTGAGTCACATCCGCAGCTTAGCTTTCTTTCACCCATGGGTCCCACACCATAGGCCAGGTCACTGAAATTCCAGACACCCACCACTGTGTTGTGATAAGATGTTATAGTCAGAACCACAAACAATGGGCTTCCTGTGTGTGGGGTCAATGGACACAGTCACTTACGTTTGGTGCAGACAATCTGGGGCCGGTCCCATTTGCCATTACTCCGGCAGCGGATGGTGGCCACATGGTGCTGGGCAAATCCTTCATCACACTGGTAGCGCACGGTGGCATGGACGTTGTACCTGGCCTTGCGCACACCAACAAGGGAGGCGTTCTCCACCGATGGAGGGGGACCACACAGCACTGGGGACAGAGGTATCTCCCGTTGGGAAGTGACCAAGACTGGGGCTGACCCAGTGGCACATCTTGTCCTGCTGGACACTCCTTCTTCACAGTTCTGATCTTGTAGAACTAGAATTAACTGCCTGTGTCTGACTTTCACCTAAATCAGGAGGTCCTTGTTGGGAATGGAACCTTCTGGACACACCCCACTCCCAAGAGCAAAAGGCAAAGAAGAAACTGAAGCACAAAAGAAAAGCAGATGGGGGCTGGAGAGATGGCTGAGCGGTTTAGAACACCACTGCTCTTGCAGAGGATCCAGATTCAATTCCCAGCACCCACATGGCAGCTCATGACCATCCATAACTCTAGTTCCAGGGATCTGATGCCCTCTTCTGGCATCTGCAGGCATTTCACATACATGGTGCACTTACAGGCAGGCAAAATACTCATACAAATACAAATACGAATAGATAAATAAATACAAATTTAAAAAAAGCTGACAATGCAGCAAACCATCTCCTTCACATGTAAAGAGGTCTTATAAATCAATAACACCAGCCGGGTGTGGTGGCGCACGCCTTTAATCTCAGCACTTGGGAGGCAGAGGCAGGCAGATCTCTGTGAGTTCAAGGCCAGCCTGGTCTATGTAGTGAGTTCCAGGACAGCTGGAGCTACAGGGAGACCCTGTCTCAAAAAGACCAAAAAAAAAAAAAAATCAATAACACCAAGGTGCTGATGGGAAATTAGCAAGTCACAGGAAAATCAATGCAGGTGTGTATAAGGGGGAGGGGGAGGGACATGCAGTACCTGTGCCTTTCTTGCAGACATAGGGGAGGTTGTAGTTGCAGGGGACGTCATTCCAGCGCCCGCTCTCATGTGCCACCATCACCACACAGTCCTCCCCACCCGCGAAGAAATTGTCAGGCTGGTTCTCTCGCCAGTTTTCATATTGCTTCAGGAAGAAAGAGTGCTGGGGTCACTGTAGCACCTGGGTGTGAGCCCAGATTCCTGTACTTCTGGTGTGACTCCAGTAGCTGGTGAGGGGATTTGGTTTCCCCTTCTCTACAATGGAATCACTGTGACCCAGATACCCCACCTCTGGCTGGGAGCCTAAGCATTTCTCTTCTTCCTGCCTCTTCCTTTATGACTCCTCCCCAGTTTCCTATATGAGTTGCCATTAGCTAAACAGTTGAAGGAAAGATGGGCCCAGCTTGGAAATTCAGGAGGGCTTCCCTGAGGAGGCAACTGGGAGAACTAAAGTATAGGTGCTGCGAAGGCAGGGAACAGATTTCCAAGCACAGAGAACAGTAAGTACAAAGGCCCAGGGGCAGGAGAAGAGTCAATGCTAGAGGGCCTAGGCTGCTTGCTAGAGCTAGGGTGTTGATAGAGATTGGGCAGAGCCTCCTCACAGGTTGGGAGAAGGGGTGGATGTTTTACAAATTGTAGTATTTATATATTATGTGAAATTTGTCTTTAAAATTTATTACGATTACGCCGGGCGTGGTGGCGCACGCCTTTAATCCCAGCACCCGGGAGGCAGAGGCAGGCGGATCTCTGTGAATTCAAGGCCAGCCTAGTCTACATAGTGAGTTCCAGGCCAGCTGGGTCTACAGGGAGATCCTGTCTCAAAAAGCCAAAAAAAAAAAAAATTTAGTGTCAGGCTTTTAATCCCAGCATTTGGGAGGCCGAGGCAGGTGGATCAGCATAAGTTCAAGGACATCCTGGTCTACATAGGGAGTTCCAGACCAGCTGAAGCTGCATGAGACTCTGTCTCCAAAAACAATTTATTTCTTTGGGGACACCTGTGGAGGTCAGAGGACAAACTTCATAAGTTGGTTCTCTCCTCCCATCATATGAGTTCCGGGGGTTGAACTCAGGTTGTCAGGCTGGGCAGCAAGTGCTTTTACCTGCTGAGCCATTTCACCGGCCCTTTTTTGATTATTTTTACTGAATACATGCCTAGGATGACCTCGAGTTCCAGATCCATCTGCCTCCAAGTGTCTGAAAAGCAAGCTTGCTCCACCTCAGCAAGCTTAACCTGGAGTCCGGACTGAGTTCATGTTGTCAGAGTTGGCGGCAAGCCCCTTACTCACTGAGCCATCTCGCTAGGCCCACATTTAAACCATTTTAAAACCACCGTTATTTGGCATTAACCCCATTCTCAGTGTTGCGTAACCATCACCACTGTATCTATTTCCAGAAATTTTTCATCACGACAAACCAAAATTCTATACTGATCCAGGAAAAAATAATTCCTCTTCTCCTTGCCGGCTGCCAGCACACACCCAGGCCCTCTCTGTGTTTCCTTTGCGGGTTCCAAACCAGGGATCACATCACGTGCTATGCCCAACCTTCAACCTGCCAACTAGCTCACCGGTGTTTTTGGAGATAGGGTCTTACTGTGTAGCTATGATGTGTTTTCAACTCACTTTGTAGGCCAGGCTAGACTCAAACTTGCAATGATCTTCCTGCTTCAGCTTCCCAAGTGCTAGGATGACAAGTGTACTCCACAACCACATGACTTCAGTGATACATATTTATTTCTGTTTAACAGTGGACAGGATGGAACCCAGCGTTTCATGCAAGCCAGGCAGGGGCTCTACCACTGAGCTACACTACCACTTTCCTGCCGAGCCATGCCCCCAGCCCCTCACTGGGGGGTTTTAGACTGTCACTCTACCCTTGAACCACACCCCCAGTCCACCATGTTCAGTCTAATCCTCCATCTCTTCTTGATTTCTCCTTCTGCTTCTGTGGTTGAGGACTTTGAACACTGATGTGGGATTATTTGTCTCAATTATTTTTTCAGGGCTGCAGATGGAACCCAGGACTTCACAAATGCACTGAGCTGCATTCTCAACACCAAGAATTTTTGTGTGTGGGGGGGTATCTTTTATGGTTTTGAATTTTTTTTTTTTTGGTCTTTTTGAGACAGGGTCTCCCTGTAGCTCCAGCTGTCCTGGAACTCACTATGTAGACCAGGCTGGCCTCGAAGTCACAAAGATCTGCCTGCCTCTGCCTCCCGGGTGCTGGTATTAAAGGCATGCGCCACCACACCCGGCTGGTTTTGAATTTTTTAATAATTCTGTTACAGATATTTTTATTTGTGTGTACACATGTATGGGGATGCTCCTGCCATGTCATATGTGTGTGTGTGTGTGTGTGTGTGTGTGTGTGTGTGTGTGTGTAAGTCAGAGGACAACCTTCAGGAGTTGATTTTCTCCTTCCACCTTGTGGGTCCCAGGGAGCGAACTCAGGTTGTCAGCCTTGATGGCAAGCACCTTTACCCATGTCTGAAGCCCCTTGTTTTTGTCTTTTTTGAGGCAAGGCCTCATGTAGCCCAGACTGGCCTCCAACTCGCTGGTGTGGAACTTTGAACTCTGGACCCTCCTGCCTTCATTTCCCTCATGCTGGGGTAACAGCTGTGCACCATTACACCTGGCTTATCACAGTCTTACAGTACATAAATTTCCCCTCAGTTTTTACACAGTGCCCAGCTGGGTGAGCTGACACATAGTTGCAGTACAGTTAGTTACTGCCCATCTGAGGCAGGAGGATGGCTTGAGCTCAGGGGTTAGGGCCATCCTGGACAACACAGAGAGGCCCTATCTTTAGACAGATCCTCATGTCTTCTTGTGTATGTTGGGGTAGCAAGTGACTCTGGTGGCTGTAGAGATGGGACTATTTCAGTGGCCACCACGGGAGAACTTGGAGGAAGCAGGAGGTGGCTGGGACAGGCCTCTCCTTGGGGCCTCCATCAGCCCCACACAGGAGAGGCCTGCAGAAAGTCAGGGTGACAACTTGGACCTCAGAGCTTGTGGGGACCTGTGATGCCCACCTGTGGCTGCTTTATAGGAGTGTAAGTTGAGGCCAGAGGGCAGGGCCACAGGACTCAGTGGCCTGACAGGCCTGCCACCACTCACCAGCCCCGTATTGTCTGTCCACTGGAAGTCCCTCTCCACCGTTCTGTCGTTCAGGCCGATCCATGCATTCTCATGTCCAAAGCCTGTGTAGGGCGGGACTGTGAGACTATGTCCCTCCCCAGTGGGGCAAGGCTGGAGGGGAGCAGATGGGGTTGGGAGGGGCCTTCTTCCCTTCCCAGACCAGAGGGGGCTGGAATAGGTGGGTTAGGCTGAAGCTGGTGAGAATCACACAGGGTGGAGCAGGCAGGTGAGGGTGGACATGATGCCCAGGAGAGTAAGGCTGGGCCTTTAGTAAGAAGACTGAGAGAGGGGGATGAGCAAGGGGTGTGCTAGGAGTTAGGGGGATGGGGGATGGATGGACCAGGAGATGGTGGGATGGGGGGAAAGATGGACCAGGAGTTAGTTAAGGGATGGGGGAAAGGGATGGACCAGGAATTGGTGGGATGGGGGCAGGGATGGACCAGAAGTTAGGGGGATGGAGGGAAAATGGAACAGGAGTTGGTGGAATGGAGAGGATAGAAGGATCAGGAATTAGGGGGATGGGGATGCAGAACCCCTCCTCAGCCACACATAATCTCTGAAGGTCCAGTGTTTTGTGCAAGTGAAGGGCCCATCTCTCCCCAGCTTGGAGGTGGGCTATAGGGCTACGGTAGGAAGTGGGGGCTCACAGAGGTCAGGGAGGACCTAGAGCCCTGTCTAGCCTTAGGTACAGGTGTGAGAGAGTAGGAGGAGGGTAAGGAGGGAGGAGAATCAGGCAACCCCTGTTACCTGGGGGATGGGAGCAGAATTAGGTTCCAGCTTTGCCAGGAAAGGTAGATGGTCAGGGGGAGAACAGGATGGACACAGACCCGGTCGGGTCTTTGCTGAAGGAGTGAGGGGAGCGAGGGGAGCGAGGGGAGGAGCGGGGGAGAGGGGAGGAGCGAGGGGAGGAGCGAGGGGGCGAGGGGGAGCGAGCGGGGAGCGAGGGGAGGGCCCAGAGGGCCCACCCTAGGCAAGGCAGGAGAGACAGAGGAGTTAGCGCTGGTTCTGAGCAGGGGCTGGACGACTGGGGGAGGACACAGTAAACCACCTCACAAACCAGGGGAGAGTCCAAGGGGAGGAGGTGGGGTGAAGAATCACAGAATAATGGAAGCAGTGAAGCCCACATTCAACACACACTCTGTATGGAGGGCCAGCAAACTCTACCCCAACTCTATCTCCTGGCTCTATTTTATTTATCAGTTTATATAGGACCTGTTATGGTATTAAAAATAACTGACAGGGACTAAAGAGATGGTTCCATGGTTAAGGGCACTGGCTGTTTTTGCAGAGGACGCAGGTTCTGTTCCCAGCACCCACATGGCGGCTCAAACTCTCTATAACTCCAGTTCCAGGGGATCTGACTCCTTCTTCTGACCCCCACAGGTATTGCACATATGAGTGCACTTACATACATGCACTCATATACATCAAATAAAAACAAATAAATTTTAAAAATAACCAAGTGTGGAATAACATAGTAAAGTCTGTGAGCACAGAAATATTCCAAGCACGAAGTCATAGATCATCCAATTAGATATCTGCCTGCTTGTCTAGATCCTCACTTCCTAGGGTCATAATTATCTCTCTGCCCTGTCCACAGGGCCTGGCAGATGACATGTGCACAGAGAATATTTGGTGTAAGAATCAATGACTTAATGAATGAACATGTGAATTGACAGACAAGTGACTGAGGAGGGAGTGGGTCAAAGAGCATGAGTTAGTAAGGTGATGTCTCCAGAACCCTTGGGTGGCACTCTGGTTAAGGGACAAGCTCTCCCTGCAAGCCCACCACACTGGCTGGGGATACTCCCCAATCTCCTACCACCCCTACCGATGATAAACTTGTGCTCCTCTGGTGAGTGGACGCTGGTCAGGTGACCTGCCCGGCGCCGGCAGTCCCTCTCTGCATCCTCCCAGGCCCTCCGATGAGCAAAGTAGCGGTAGCAGTGGCCCTGGAACTTATGCCAGCCTCGGTCGCAGCCCTCGGTGTCTAGGAGGTGAAACAGGAGTGAGGACAGTATGAAAGGAGTTGGTCACTGCTCAGGGTGGAGCAGGCCCCGGATTCTGTACCACCTAGCATTGAGAATGGTCTTAATCCCATGGAATTGTATCCATTACAGTATCTATGGACTGGGGGCTGGAGAGATGGCTTAACAGTTAAGAGCACTGACTGCTCTTGCAGAGGACCCGGGTTCGAGTCCTAACATCCACATGGTGGCTACTAACCATCCTTAACCCAGTTCCAGGGGAATCTGATGCCTTTTTCTGACTTCTGCGGCATTGCACGACACAGGTGCACTCACATATGTGCAGGCAATACACTCATACACATGAAATAAAAATAAAAAATAAAATCTATTTTAAAAAAACAATATCTATGGACTGGCGAGATGGCTCAGTGGGTAAAGGCATTTGATGTCAAGCTTGACAACCTGTGTTTGATCCCCAGGACCCATATAGTGGAAGGAGAGAACTGACTCCTACAAGTTGTCCTCTCTCCACATGTGTGCTGTGACCTGCACACACACACACACACACACACACACACACACACACACACTAAGTGGAAAAAATTAAAATATTAAAAGTGCTTATTTTATGTTATGTGATTTACAACAAACAATTTAGCTAGTCTAGGTGGTTCATGCCTGTCATCCCAGCACTCTGGAAACTGAGGCAGGAGGATCTCCAGTTCGAAGACAGTCTGGGCTAGAAAGCAAAATTCTGCTACAGAAAACAAACTAGGAACCCAATGTCGTGGCACGCACCATTGGTCTCAGCACATGGGAGGCAAAGACAGGCAGATCTCTGGGAGTTTGAGGCCAGCCTGGTCTAAATAGCAAGTTCTAGGACAGCCAGGGCTATGTAGTAAGATCCTGTATAAAAAATAAAATAAGGGGCTGGAGCGATGGCTCAGCAGTTAAGAACACTGGCTGTTCTTGCAGAAGACCTGGGTTCGATTCCCAGTACCCACATGGCAGCTAACAACTGTCTGTAACTCCAGTTCCAGGGAATCCGACAGCCTCTTTTGTCCTCTTGTGGCCATTGCACGACATGGGTGCACTTACCTACATGCATGCAATACACGCATATACATAAAATAAAAATAATAAATAAAGACAGGTGTGGTGGCACACGCCTTTAATCCCAGCACTTGGGAGGCAGAGGCAGGCAGATCTCTGTAAGTTCGAGGCCAGCCTGGTCTACACAGCGAGTTCCAGGTCAGCTGGGGCTACAGGGAGACCCTGTCTCAAAAAGACTAAAAAAATAAAAAATAAATACATAAAATAATAAAATAAAATAAAATAGAACCAGAGCGATGGCTCAGCAGTTAAGGATGCTTGCAGCCAAGCCTTGCAGCCTGAGTTAGAGCCATGGGGTAGATTGAATATGGTGGAAGGAGAGAACTGACTCCTGAAAGTTGTGCCCTGACCACCACACTCATGCGTGGCATATGGGTGTTCCCCCCACATACACAAAACAAATAAATAAAACGCAATTTAAAATAAAATAAAGGGCTGGAGAGATAGTTCAGCAGTTGGGAGCACTGACTGCTCTTGCAGAGGATCCAAGTTCAATTCCCAGCACCCACATGGTGGCTAACAACCATCTGTAATGCCGATGCCCTCCTCTGATCTCCACATGCATTGCACGACATGAGTGCACTTACATACATACAGGGAATATCCTTATACACATAAAATAGAATAAAAGTAAAATATTAAAATCTAAAATAAGTAAATAATAAAATAAAATATAATTTTCCCCCTGTGGGCCTCAGCCATGGACCCAGGGAGACCTGGAGTCTGTGTCCAGCCTATGGCAAGCAGCCACCCTCTGCAGCCATGTAGATGGGGACTCACCCTTCTGGCACAGGCTGCCCCCATAGCTGGGGAGGCAGAGGCAGACAAAGCCGTTCACCTCATCAATGCAGGTCCCTCCATTCTCACAGGGGCTGCACAAGCAGTCATCGATGTCTGGGGAACAGAGGGGACAACCAGAGGTCAGAGGTCAGCCTCCCCTCATATGTCAGCTCACAGGTAGAAGACAGGCCTTGGTCCTTCCAACTGTCTCCAGTGGACATCTGCAGGGTTGGCAGGGTGGTGTGTACCTGAGGGGCAGGACTTTGAATAATGAACACTAATTAGTATGCAAGGCAGCAGGTGCCGCAGGCTGAAAGGGACTCCAGCTGGAATCTGGCCCATTGCATGCTGAAGGTCAAGTTCCTCCTGCACATTTGCACAGGTTCCCTGAGCCCTCTTGGCAGTGTTTGTAGACTGAAGTGGACTTTCGGTTAACTCTTTTCCCCTGAATTTCCTGTGTGTATGTTTGTATGTGTACAATACATGTGTGTACATAGGTGCATATGTGGGAGGCCGGAGGTCAAACTTGGATGCTGTTCCTCAGGTACCACCTTCTTTTTTTCTTTTTTTTTTTCAGACAGGGTCTCACTATGTAGCCCTAGCTAGTCCGGAACTTCCTGTGTAGACCAAGCTGGCCTTCAACTCACAGACATCTGCCTGCTCTTTTTCCTGAGGGCTGGAATTAAAGGCCTATGCCACCACATCAAATCACTTCTATCTATCTATCATCTATCTATCTATCTATCTATCTATCTATCTATCTATCATCTATCTATCGATCTATCTATCTATCTATCTGATCTATCAGTCCTATCTATCTAATCTATCATCTATCTATCTATCTATCTGATCTATCTGTCCTATCTATCTAATCTATCATCTATATCTATCTATCTATCATCTATCTATCTGTCTAATCTATCATCTATCTATCTTCATCTATCTTCTATCTCCCTACGTATCATCTATCTATCATCTATCTATCTATCTATCTATCTATCTATCATCTATCTATCTGTCTATCTATCTACCTACCTATCATCTATCTATCTATTTTTTTGGTCCTTTGAGACAGGGTCTCCCTGCAACCTCTGTTGACCTAGAACTCACTATGTAGACCAGGCTGGCTTTGTTCTCACAGAGATCCACCTGTCTCTGCCTCCTGAGTGCTGGGATTAAAGGCATGTGCCACCATGCCTGGCACCAAGTCACTTAAAAAATTTTTTGGTCTTTTTTTTTTTTCTTTTTGTCTTTTTGAAACAGGGTCTCCCTGTAGCCCCAGTTGGCCTGGAACTCACTATGTAGACCAGGCTGGCCTTGAACTCACAAAGATCCGCCTGCCTCTGCCTCCCAAGTGCTAGGATTAAAGGCGTGCGCCACCATGCCCAGCAAAAGATTTTTTATTTTTAATTGTGTACCTATGTTTTGTGTTTGTGTACACACACATGTACGCATGCACGTGTATGTAGGTGTCTATGGGGGCCTGGAAAGGGCACTGGACTCTGTAGAGCTGGAGTTATAGGCAGTTTTGAGCTGCCCAGTATGGGTACTAGGATCCAAACTCAAATCCTTTGAAAGAACAGCAAGAGCTCTTAACCACTGAGCCATCTCTCCAGCTCCATCTTGTTTTTTGAGACAGGATCTCTCACTGGTCTGGAGCTCACCAAGTAGGCTAGGCTGGCCCACCATTGAGCCCCAGGGATCTTCCTGTCTCCACCTCACCATGCTGGAAGCACAGGCTTATGCCACCATGATCTGCTTTTTACATGGGTTCCAGAGTTTAACTCAGGTCCCCAGGTTTGTGTGGCAAGCACTTTGCCAACTGTACATCTCCCCAGCCCCTCAGCTGATCTCTTCCACCTGCCCCAAAGCAAAGACACCACTTCCCCTCTCCAAGACTCAGTTTCTCTATCTCCCTCTTTCTTTCTTTCTATCTTGGTGTTTTGAAACCTCACAAGTGCTTGGATCACAGGGTTAACATGCCATCAGGAGAGGTCAGAGAACAACTTTGTAGAATCCGTCCTCTCCCCCCACCCCCAAATATTTAAAGGCAAGTGAGGTGGCACAAGCCTTTAATCCCAGCACTCAGGAGGCAGAGGCAGGCAGATCTCCGTAAGTTACAGGCTAGCCTGGTCTACATAATGAGTTCCAGGGCAGCCAGAGCTACGTAAGGAGACCTGATCTCAATTTTTTTCTTTTTGCCAGGCATAATAGTATAGGCCTCTAATCCCAGCCCTCAGGAGTCAAACAGAAAATTTAAGTTATATTGCTGGATATGGTGGCACATGCCTTAAAACCCAGAACTCTTGAGGCAAGCAGATCTCTGGGAGTTCAAAACCAGCAGGACTACATAATGAGATCCTGTCTCAAAAAATTATATATATATATATGTAAATGGTTGTATTTACTTATTATCTGTGTATTATGTTCAGGTTTGCACCTGCATGTGCCATAGCACACAAGTGGAATCAGAGGACAACTTCTGGGCATTGATTCTCTCCTTCTACCATTGAACTCAGGTAGATCAGATTTTACCTGATGCGCCATCTCATAGGCCCTCATTTATATTTTTAGTTTTGATTCTCTAATTCCTAGTCTAGTTGTAAAGCCAAGCAAAAGATGCCCAGAGATGAAATTCTGCCGTGTGTATTTAGCATTGTAATCTCACATTTGGCAGTGTCCTCTCTGGGGCTCTGGGGTGAGCTTTCAGTATTCCTGGGGGTGTCATTCACACCCCTGCCCATCTAGAAGAAAAGGGTCCCCAGAGCCCTTTGCTGGAGGGAATCTGAGCCCTGCCCTGCCTTTTGTTGGCCCCTCCCCAGCAAAGATAATCCCGGTAGGAGAGGCCTCACCTAAACCATGCCCCTAGCTTGGAATCAGGTAATTTCCGTGGATTCACCTAGATTCAGCATAGGGGACAGGGGACAGTGCTCTGGGCTGTGACACTCACCAATCTCGCAGTTCTCCCCAGCGTAGCCCTGATCACAGTTACAGCCATACACTGTACCGTTGGTGCGGCAGGTCCCCCCATGCAGGCAAGGGTTGTTCTCACAAGGATCTGTAGGGGCTAGGAGATGGACAGGCAGCATGAGGACAGACTGACCACCACATCATCTGTTTCCATGGAATCCAGACCTCGGCTCTGGCCCCTGGCTGTGCCCCCGAATCTACCTACCCAGTCAACATCCCCTCACACACCCTGTAGTAAAGAGCTTAGTGCTTTCAGACTGGCATCTGCTAGCTGCCCTGCTCACAGCAAGGTTCCTGCTCACTCGGATAGATAGGAATGGGCCACCCAGAGACCAGAGCTTCCTTATCCTAGGAATTCTAAGACAAGAGTCACTATCCTCTTTAATTTGCTGCCCTTATCTGAACATGCCCTTCTCAACACCATGCTCCCCTAATGTGGGATACAGTGAACATAAAGTTCACCTGAAAGAATGAAGGTACCCCCTCCTTCATTCTACTGGCTTAACCTTTCTTGATACAACCATGGTTGTGTTTTTTGCTTGTGCATTCTTTTGTTTTGAGACAGTCTCTTGTAGCATAGGCTGGCTCCTGACTCATGATTCTCTGAGTGTTTGAGTGCTGGAGTCACCAGCATGTACCACCACATCTGGCTTGAACCTTAGTGATTTCAGTGTGAAGACAAGGATTACAGTGGTTATAACTGTAGGTGGCAGGGACGGAGAGACTATTTCAGTCCCAATCTGCCTCTCACTAGGGGATCAGGCAAATCATTCTTCTGAATTCTAGCTGATTCATCTATAACAAGGAAATAAAAATAGTTCACCCAGGCTGGGCGTGATCGGACACGCCTTTAATCCCAGCACTTGGGAGGCAGAGGCAGGCGAATCTCTGTGAGTTCAAGGCTAGCCTGGTTTACATAGTGAGTTCCAGGACAGCTGGGGCTACTGGGAGACCCTGTCTCAAAAAGACCTAAATAAATAAATGAATGAATGAATGAATGAATATAAATAAACATATAGTCCACCCTTGACCAGTGAAATGGATCAGCAGGGGAAGATGCTTGTCACTAAGGCTGAGGACCTGAGTTTGATCCCTGGACCCACATGGAGAAAGGAGACAACCGACTCCTGCAAGTTGTCCTCTGACCTCCACATGTGCTTGGTGGTATGCCCCATCATACACAAATAAAATTTTAAAACAGTGATTAAAAGGCTAAGCGTGGTAGCATATGCCTTTAATCCTAAAAGAGGCAGAGACCAGGATCTCTGGGATTGAGGGCAGCCTGATGTATGTAGCTGGGGCTACAACCCTGTTTTAGAAAAATGTGATTAGGGGCTGGAGAGATGACTCAGAGGTTAATGGCTCAGCTCAGTGATTAAGAGCACTGGCTGCTCTTGCAGAAGAGCTAGATTCGGTTCCTAGAACCTGCATGGTGGCTAAGAACCATCCATAACACCAGTTCTAGGGGATCCAACACCCTCTTTTGATTACCATAGACATTGCACAACTTGGGTGCACTTAGGCACTTACATACGTGCAGGCAATACACTCATACAGGTACAATAAAAATAATAAATGAAATATTTAAAAAATTATCAAAAAGCTCCTATGAGAGGTCTCAACTGGTAAAGGGGTTTGCTGCCAAGCTTAAGGATCTGAGTTTGATCCCTGGGACCCACATGGTGGAAGGAGAGCACTGATTCCTGGGAGCTGGCCTCTGACTACCAAATGAATGCTGTGGCATGTACATACCCACATTCACATAGACACACATACCCTACACATACATACACACAATAATAATAATAAATAAATAAAATTAAGAAATGTGTTAGTATTAATCCATTACTGCCTCTCTAGAGTCCTGCTCTGTTCTTCCCACAGTCTTCAGAGGGAGTCAAGTAAACTCAAGTTGTCCTTCAATCTAGATGCCTCCAAGGCTCCCCATTGCCCTGAAGAGAAAAGCCAAAGTCCTCTCTGCAGTTCACACCCCTGTGGGATTCACCACCCCCCCATCTCACCCAAACTCAGTTTTTCCTCCTTCTCTCTCACTTACTCTGTTCTGGCAGGCTGTCTCACCATTCCTCCCTCACACCAGGCACAGTGCTGCCTCAGGACCTTTGCACAGAAGGCCTCTGCTGCCTGGAATTCTCTTCCCATATATCTTTACGTAGCTCTCCTCCCTTCCCTCAGACTTGCTCCTATTTTATCTAGCTTGAGAAACCTTTCTCAAGCCCCCTCTCTTTCTCCTCCTCCCTCCTCCTCCCTTTCTCTCTCACCTCCCTTCTACCTCCTCTCCCTTCCTCCTCTCTTGTAGTTTTTTATTTGTAAACTTAGGTCTGAGAGATGGTTCAGTAGGTAAGAACATTTGCTATACAAACATGAGGCCCTGAGTTCAAATTCCTAGCATCCACATAAAAAGTCATAACCTATAAGTAACCCGATGTCCTCCTCTGGCCTCTGCAAGTACACCTGAACACATACACTAACACACCAAAATCTTTTTGATTTAATTCTTCACAGTGCTACAGATGGAACCCAGAGCCATGGTGCACATCAGGCAATCTTACCCTGAACCCCAGCCCTCTCTCTATTGGTCTTTGCATACGGGGATCAGAAGACAATTTTCAGGAGTTAATTCTCTCCTTCCATCATCTGGGTCCCACGGATTGAACTCAGGTCATTGGACCTGGCGGCAAGCCCCTTTACCAGCTGAGCCCTCTTGCCAGCCCTGCCAGGTTCTTTTTTTCATGCTGATCATTTTTGTATCTCTCCTGAGAGCAGCAACATTCCATATGGCAGCCACACACTCCGCTCATGCTTAAATTAATTAAAATGAGATGATTGTGAATGCTTGCGGCCTCTCAGTCCTACAAGCTCCATGTCAAGCTGACAGCCCAGAGAGGAGACACATCCATCACTGGGAATTTCCTAGCATGTTGTTCAGCATGTTTCAGAGGACAAAGGATTTCATTTCCGCCCAGGACCCAGAACACAGTGGGTTCATACCATTGTTGGCTAGCTGAAGGCAGGGACAACTGTCTGTTCTGTGGTGGTAGAGATGTCTGTCCCTGGGAAACCTGGGCACCAAGCATGTCATGGAGCGCCAGCCCCTGTGCATGCACCAGAATGGGAGTGACATTCCGCAGGTGACGGCTGCCAAGTGGCCCTGCCACGACAACTGCCCACGCTGGTGCTGGCTCAGCCGGCAGTGAGTTTCTGATTTCATCAGCATCTGTAATGTGGGTGGAGGGTGGCAAGGTGCCAGGGTCCCATTCTAATGTGGCCACCTCCACTTCCCAGGGCTGCCAGCTGGGGTCTGCAGCTGAGCCCCAGGGCCAATGTCAGCTGAGCCCCTCAGCCAATGTCACCTCACCTATGAGCTCTGACACCAGATACTCCAGGTGACCTCTTTCTTTCAGGGACCTGCCACCCCATCACCTCCTCTCTATGGTCACCCTGCCTGTGTGTTTTCACAGGAAGAACTAGGGCAGTTTACAGACTGGTACACCAGACAGAGCTCTGCAGCCCTGCCTTCCTCCCGCTCTCTCCCTTCCTTCCCATTCTGTTCCCCCTCCCCACCTTCCACCCCCACCATGGTCTCAGGTAGCCCATGGGCCTCAAGCTCATGATGTAGTTGAGGATGACTTTGAAGATCTGACCTCCTGCCTTGACCCCTACCTCCCGCTGCTGGATGACCACACCCACTGCTGGATGACCACACCCACTGCTGGATGACCACACCCACTGCTGGATGACCATTCACAGTTGCCCTGCATTTCAGCTCCAACCCCAGCTGCATGAATACATGAAGTACCCATCTCCCCCTGCCTCAGTCTCCCCACCTGTAAAGCAAAACACACTAGAACATGCCCTATGAGACATTATGAAGATGAACTAAGCTGGCTGGACGTGGGGACACACACTCATGATCCTGAGCAGGATTGCTGAGATTTTGAGGCCAGCCTAGGCTACAGAGTAAGAACTTGTCTCAAAAAGAAAAGCAAGGTGCTAGAGAGCTGGCTCATTGGTTAAGAGCTCTGGCTGCTTTTGCAGAGGAGCCTGGTTCAGTTCCCAGCACCCACATAGTGGCTAATAACTGTGTCCATAACTCTAGTTCCAGGGGATCTGACACCCTCTTCTGGACTTCAGGCATTGCATGACTTAGGTGCACTTATACACATACAGGCAATACACTCATACACAAAATTAAGAAAGAAAAGAAAGAAAGAAAGAAAGAAAGAAAGAAAGAAAGAAAGAAAGAAAGAAAGAAAGAAAGACAAAAGCTAGGGAGATGACTCAGATGGTAAAGCGCTTGCTACATATACATGAGGACCTGAGTTCAATCCCCAGCACCCACTTTAAAAAGCTAAGCTGTAGCCGGGCATGGTGATGCAAGCCTTTAATCCCAGCATTCAGGAGGCAGAGACAGGTGAATCTCTGTGAGTTCAAATAATTTCAGGACAGCTAGAGCTATATAGGGAGACCATGTCTTTTAAAAAAAAAGTACCTGCCGGGCATGGTGGCACAGTCTTTAATCCCAGCACTTGAGGCAGATGCAGACAGATCTGAGTTCAAGCCCAGCCTGGTCTATGTAGTGAATTCCAGGACAGCTGGGGCTACAGGGAGACTCTGTCTCAAAAGACGAAAAAAATAAATAAAATAAAATAAAATTTTAAAAAAGTACCCAATATGATCGGCCTCCTGACCTCTGACCTCTGACCTCACTTGTCACTAGAAAATTCCAGCCTTCCCAAGGACCATAGATTTTCCTGCTCCAGACACCCCCAGTCCCTGGCCACACTAAGATGGATGGAGATCCAGAATCCAGGACTTACCCTCCTGACCGCTGGCCACCTCTTCCCAGAAGCCCTCCAGGTCTGGACTACCAGCCACAACCTCCAGCTCTGCCTCCTCTGAGCCCAAGGATATAGGCAACAGGGTGCTGTGGGCATCCCACAGTGTGGTGGGCTCCCCTGAGGAAACAGAGGCCACCTCATCCATGGTGGAGGCTGGAGTTGTCCATGGAGGCCAAGAGGCTGAAGGTACCAGTGTCCCCTGGGCTACCATCTGGCCCTCTGGTTCTGAGGTATGTTGAAGGCCTTTGGAGGTCGGTGTGAGTATATCCTGGGCCCCATCCTCAGTCTCCTGGTCCAGGGGTGCAAGAGATGGTACCACACTTCGATCCACAACTGCATGGGTGCTGGAAACAGAACTTTGGGGTCCAGATCCCCAAAAGGCACCAGCACCGCTGGGGGCCACCTCCACTGTGGTATTTGTAGGACCCTTGGTGACACCCCCCTCTGAAGCTGTGGGAGTCTCCATGTACAAGGTGACTCCAGGACCTCCCCAGGGAGTGGACAGGGGCCTGGTGTCCAACCCTGGCCTAGGCATTGATGGCCAGGTGCCCAGTGTCTCATCCACAGTGGCCTGCCTACTGGACATGGAACTCTCTGTTGCATCCAAGACCCCAGACTCCATCCCTAGAATGCCAGGGTCAGAGGGGACAGGATCAACTGTCATACTCCCAGAGTCAGCAGAGACCCATGGGCCAGAGTCGGGGTTCTCCCTAGCCTGGGCGGGGCCAATCTCCCTCATTTCTCCAGATTCTGGTGCTGGGGATTTGGGGCTGGCTCCAACTTGGGTGTCCGTGGTAGTCTGGGAAGAGGCCATGGGTCCTCGAACTTCAAGGCTGCTGAGTGTGGCAGGGGTGGCCTCCCTACCCTGTCCTTCCAGGCCCCGGGACTTGGAGGGTGAAATGGGGGTCACAGTCCCATCATGCCCCTTGTCCCTGTTGGCATCAGTGGGGACAGATGTGGAGTGTAACAGGAGCCACAGTTTGGGAGCACGAAGCATGGCCACGATAGGGAAGTCTGGGGAGGCGTTGTCAGGGGATGCCTCCCAGGGGACAGTGCTAGGGGGCTCTGAAAGACTGGAGATGGTGACAGCAGGCTCTGAGAGTGACCAGGGAAGCCCATGCATGGCTGGCTTCACGCTGGGGGCCTCCGCTGCCCCTGGTTTCAGATCAGAGGTTCCGCTGAGGTCTGGGCTGCTAGGTGAGGTCAAAGATGGGAGCCATAGCCAGGACTCTGGGGGGCTTCTGCTGCCAGGGGAACCTGTGATATCAAAATGGGTTACAGTTAGCCAGTACACATCTGTGCTTCCAGCACTAGGAAGGTGGATCAGTCAAAGTCATCTTTCGAGGGCCAGGGTATTTGAGGCCAGCCTGGGCTACATGAGATCCTGTCTCAGCACCCTTTCAAAGAAAAGAAAAGAAACCCTTGGGGCTAGAGAGATGGTTCAGCAGTTAAGAGAACTGGCTGTTCTTGCAGAAGAACTGGGTTCAAATCCCAGCACCCACATGGCAGCTAACAACTGTCTGTAACTCCAGTTCCAGGGGATCTGACACCCTCTTCTGGCCTCTGTGGATACTGTATGACACAAAAGCACTTACATACATGCAGGCAAAACACTCATACACATAAAATAAAAGTCAAAATTTTAAAAACTTTATTAAAAAATAAGGTAAGTCATGCATGGTGGTGCACGTCTCTAATCCCAGCACTTGGGAGGCAGAGGCAGGTGGACCTCTGTGAGTTCAAGGCCAGCCTGGTCTACATAGTGAGTTACAGACCACCTGGGGCTACAGGGAGAACCTGTCTAAAAAAACTAACAACTAACAACTAACTAACTAATTAACTAACTACCTAACTATCTAACTATCTAACTACCTAACTAACTAACTAACTAACTAACAAAATAAATAAACTGGAGAGCAGTAGAGGAAGACACCTGACATGGACTTTTGGCCTCCACACACGCACCGAACAAAAATCAAAGCAGTCATATGATACAGGCTGGCTGTCTCAGTATCTGAGAGGTGGAAACTGGATGATGAGGAGTTGGAGGCCAACCTGGGCTACCACACCCTGTCCTCTTCCTCTACACAGAGAGAGAGAGAGAGAGAGAGAGAGAGAGAGAAGGAAGGAAGAAGGAAAAAAAGAAAGAGGCAGGCAAAATGGCTCAAAATAGCTCAGCAGGTAAAAATGCTTGCTGCCAAACCTGTTTGAAAATTGTCCTTTGATCTCCACATGCACACTGTGGCATGCACACACGTTCCTACACACAATAAAATAAGTAAACGTAATAAAAATGTTGAAAAAATATATTGCCTCAGTAGCAATTTAGTTTCTCCTTGGTCCCCAGCCCAAGGAGAGGAATTTTGAGGTATGGCAAGGGGCCTTCAGGAGGCTGCTGGTACAGGGTGTGGCTCTGTCCACCCTCCCTTCTTCCCCAGGTCACTCACCTGTTCCTGGCACATCTACCTCATTGGTCAGGATGGCCCAGGGACTGCGACTCTGGTCATTTCCTGAGGTTTCTGTGGCCACAGGAAGCTGCACCTCTGGGGTGGGGGTCTGGGCACTGGCCTCTGCTGCCCCCAGTTGGCCAGCTGGGTCCTGTTGCTGGAAATGTCGACCATTCAACACTTTGAAGCGGCCCCTCTTCAGTGTGGGGGTATAGGCCATCTCTGTGCCCGAGGGTGTTGTCCCTGCCACGTCCACACTCACACTGCTGGGACTGGGGACACCCGAGGAGCTTATGGCACCTGTGAGCAGCCACTTTTCTGTAGGGGGCCACAAAGTCAGTGTGGAGTCCCCTGGAGTAGAGTCAGCGATCTTCTGAGACTCTTGAGTTGTTGCAAAGCCCATGGGTTCATCTTCCCCACTGGACACAAGTGTTTCCTGGAAATCTTCCCCCAGGCTGGGCTCTACTTCTTGGGCTGGGGGTCCCTCTGCCAACACAATCTCCCCCTCATCTCCAGATGAAGGTGTCTCGGGGTCTCCATGTGTTGGTGTGGGGTGATGAGCTATAGAAAAGGAAGAGGTTGTGGTAGGCCCAGGTGCTGCTAGGGAAGTCCTGCTTCAAGTCTATGTATGTTCTAGCCTCCTGCAATACAGTCGTGGCATCTCCACACCCCTCTGTCTCCCTGAGTGGGTTCTGAGATTCCTCAGCCTGAGAACAGGAGGTACACTGTTCCTGCTGCACCATAACCTGCCCACAGTCAGGGTCAGCTGGCTAAAGCCTGGCTAATTGGCGAAGCTCTGGTGAGGTAAGAAAGTGAATGCCACCCCACACCTTTCCTGCACTAGGGCGTACCTGACGGTGTGTCTCCGGGTAGACAGATGTGCTTCACCCAGGGGCAGCATTTTGGTATGTGGCTTATCAGGCCTTCAGGAAATAGAGCCTCAGTTCGTTAGTGGCTGTGTCTCAGGCTGACCTGGAACTCAATATGAAGCCCAGGCTTTTCTCAAACTCACAGAGATTCTCCTGCCTCAGGCTCCCAAGTGAGACTAGGTGACTTAAGAGTGGCCATACATTCTAGGGAAAGACCGGTCTCCTGAAGGGGGTGTGGCTTATTCTGGGTGTTTCCATCCACCTCTCTCTGGGCATGAAATGATTAGTTTTATTTTGGGCTTTTTGAGACAGGGGTGGCCTTGAACTCAATATGTAGCCCAGGATGACCTTAAACTTCTGAGCTTCTTGCCTAGACCTCCCAAGTGCTGGGATGATAAGTGTGGGCCACACACCTGGTTTAGTTTGGTGCTGAGAAGGGAATGCAGGGTTTCCTGCATGCTATGGAATTGCTCTACCAATTGGGATACAACTCCAGCCCTGTGAGGATTTCATTTCATTTCATTTCATTTCATTTCATTTCATTTCATTTTTCGGTCTTTTTGAGGAGACAGGGTCTCCCTGTAGCCCCAGCTTGCCTGAACTCGCCTTATAGACCAGATTGACCTTGAACTGACAGAGATCCATCTGCCTGCCTCTGCCTCCCGAGTGCTGGGCTAAAGGCATGCGCCACCACGCCCGGCTTTATTTTATTTTTATAATTTTAATATTTTTTTTTTGTTTTCTGAGACGGGGTCTCCCTGTAGCCCCGGCAGTCCTGGAACTCGCTAGGTACCCACGGTCGACTGTAAGGATTTAGAGGAAAGCTGCTGAACGTGGTGGTGCACGCATTTAACCCCAGCACTCAGGAGGCAGAGGCAGGGTTTCTGTGAGTTTGAATCTAGCATGGTCTACAGAGCAAGTTTCAGGCTAGCCAGGGCTACACAGTGAGAACCTGTCTCAAATAAATAAATCAAAGTTGATATGGGTGTAGCCTTCACTTAGTACCCAGGCGGGCATGGTCAAAAGTAGACACGCCTACAGGGCGTGGCCCTCACAAATGTTACCGGTAGGGGTCCTGTGTGGCCTCCACCAATCTCTCCTGACTTGGGGCTTGTGGTCTGGGGGGACCCACCTACACGGCATGCGGCCTTCAATCACTCCTAACTGGGCGTGGTCTCAAGTGGCCTCACCGATTCCCCTGTGGGCGTGTCCTAGGTGAGACACACCCACGGGGTGTGGTCTTCACCAAGCAATGCTAGGTGGGATTTGGCTTCGGACTTGGTTTTTTTTTTTTTACTTTTTGAGACAGGATCTCCCTGTAGCCCCAGCTGGCCTGGAACTCACTATGTAGACTAGGCTGGCCTCGAACTCACAGAGTTCTATCTGCCTGTCTCTGCCTCCCGAGCGCTGGGATTAAAGGCGTGCGCCACACGCCCAAAAGAGGCTTTCAAAAAGAACTTTTGAGGGGCACAGTCTGGACGGGATCCGCCCACCGGGGGTCGCTTTCACCGGCGGCTGCGGCGGGGCCGTGGTCTTTACTGGACACACGCACAAAGCGTGGGCCCGACAAGGGCGTGTCTGAGCGGCTCCTCCCCGGGGCGTGGCTCACGCACCTCGGAAGCAGTAGGCGTCGAAGCGCGCGCTGGGCGCCGGGAAGCCGGTGCGGTTGGCAAAGCGGTAGACGGTGCGCACGCCAGGAGCCGGGCCTCCGCAGCGCCGGCGCGGCGTCTGGATCGGGTAGCGCACGCTGCCGTCCGCCAGCCAGCCCGGGTCGCACTGGTCCAAGCCCTCGTGCCACGCCAGGTGCAGCTGCCCCACCGAGGCCAGCGCCGCGCCCTGCCGGTGGCACTGCGCCCGCGCCCCCGCCAGGGTCAAACGGCGGGCAGGACCCACGTAGAAGACCTCGCCTGCGGGGAGGGACATGGTGGAGCTTAGACGGGAGCCTGGGGAAGGAATGCGCAGAGCTAGGGATGGGAGGCTCAGGGGAAGGATGACTCAGGGCCTGGCTCCAGCTTTGCAGTTTTGAAGACACTTAGGGAATACATGGGGGTCGGAAGGACACCTGACACTCAAGAACAGGTGGCCACGGGGTCCAGCCAGCTCCTCAACTTACCTCCCAGCTCGCGAGCAAAGCAGTATACATCGTAGAGTTCTTGTGGATCGCGCCTCCCATAGCTCCGAACCCCAGGCACGCTGCTGCGGTCACCATAGCAACCAGGACGCGACTGGGTGATAGGGTACCTAATGGAGCAAGGAGTGGCTCTCTGCTGTGTGCTCCTGGAGCAACACAGGAACGCCAGGAGCTGTCCCATTTCCCCAGCTCCAACCCCATCTCCATCTGTCCCCACCATCCCAGCTCTATCTCGCTAGCTCCGTCATTTTTTGTCTCCCCTCCCTGAGCACCCCCTCACCTAACTGTGCGGTCTGAGAGCCAGCCCGCGTCGCAGTTGTCAAAGCCATCTTCGAAGGCAGCCTGCAGGTGCCTTGGGGCCGCGATGATGGCGGAGCTCAGGCGGCAGGCCTCCTGGGCCTCAGCGAAAGTCAGTGCATAGCGGTCCCGGGCTGCCCGGTAATGGAATACCACACCTACGGGGGACAGCCCGGAGAGATTTGAGCTGAAATCGTTTTTGGGTTTTTTCGGGTTTTTTTTTTTTTTTTTTTTACTTTTTGGGACAAGGTCTCCCTGTAGCCCCAGCTCGTCTGTAACTCACTATGTAGACCAGGCTGGCTTTGAACTCACAGAGATCTGCCTGCCTCTGCCTCCCGAGTGCTGGGTTGAGATGGAATCTTAAAAAACAGATCTCCCTGGAGCAGATTGGCATGTCCCACTCCCTCATCCCTGTTTCAATTGTTCTGCTGGCTTTTTAAAAAAGAGAGGGTCTGTGGGGCTGAAGAGATGGCTCCAGTGGTTAAGAGCCCTGGATGCCCTTGCAGAAGACCTGGGTTCGGTTCCTAGTACCCACATGGTGGCTGTCTGTAACTCCAGTTCCAGGGGACTCAACACCCTCTTCTGGCCTCCAGGGGCACTGCACACATGTGGTACACCTACATATGTGCAGGCAAAATACTCAAACATTAAATAAATAAGATTTAAAGACAGGGTCTCCTGTAGCCGGCTGGCATCTAACTCTCTATGTAACCAAGGATGATCTTGAACTCCTGCCTCTGCAGCCCTTTTAAATCATTTTTTTCTTCCTTAATCTGTTAGGAAAATAGAAACTACATGGGCTATTTTAACAGAAAGAATTTAACAAAGGAATTGGGTAAACAGATATTTGAGAAGGTTATTTCCATAATGTGTATTTTTAACTGATGACTTTAAAAAACTGGGCTTACTTTTAAATTTTTTTTA